CAATGTATTCAGGATTGATCTTAGTAAACTCTGTGAAAGGACCAGCATCAAGGACTTCCCACATTTCATCATGGAGTGCGCAGAGGTGAGCTTTCATGCGAATTAATCCTCCAGTCATCAAACTTTGTCACTGAGAACATAAGATTCTTTGAAAGAGTGTTATCCATAATATGAGATTAAAGAGGCTAAAACAAGTGGATCTCTTGTTTAGTAAGTAACCTAAAAGATTATAAGAACAAGGAGGCTCTGATACCACTTGTTGGTCCCGTTTGTAATGGGAACAGTCTAGAGGGGGGGTGAATAGACTGTTCATGAATTTAAACTTTTCTCTAAGTCAAAACTGACTTATCAGAGATGGTCGAAATCTAGTGACAGAGAAGGTCAAGTTCTGATGGCAGAACTGGACCTGGCAGCGGATTAGGTTCTGTCCGGGTAGCCTCAGACAACACTAAGGCAAATGCCTTTCTGATAACTCTTGAGGAAGATCTGCTGAACACAGAGTCCAACCTTTTGAGTTATGCAGTCAAGTTCTTAAGTGCAGAAATGAAATAAGTAAAGTAAGTGACACCGGGGATTTTTATAGTGGTTCAAGGAACAACTTGTTCCTCTAGTCCACTGTTCCACTAAGCTTGCAAAAACAACAGTTTACAACGCCTTAGTCCCTAGAACTTAAGAAGCTCTCCACGTCTTCTTCAAGCCTAGTTGCCACCCGGGATGCAGTCCTACTTCCTGATGGCTGGTCTCGTTTCACTGAGTCTCTTGGAAGTATCACCACTTCACTCACTCCAGTTAGTTTGAGACGCCCCTTCTTTTTCAAGAAGTGTTTGAATTAGGATCAGTTTTCTCCAACGTTGCTTCTTCACAAAGGATGTGTAGATGAAGTTTTCGAAGTGTTGAAGAACTGAGGAACTTTGCAACTTGCTAGTTGGATGAGGGATAAGAAGGTATATCTTCCAACTTGAGCTTTTCTTGTTGAGGTAAGTAAGTCTTTGATCTCAAGAGAGCTTGGAGGTATTTGATTTAGAGTAGAATGATCTGAGCAAGTTCGTCTGGAAAACGTTGTAGCAAAAGTTATCCTAGTAGTTCTTCAGAGTGTATCTTATATACTGGGAGCAGTCTTCCCGTTGGAGTGTAGAAGACAGCTTCATTAAATGCTTGTACTGTTGACTTGACCGGTTGGACCTTCGACTTGCTATTTTGGGGGCGCGAAGATACTCGCATGGTCAATCATTGGCTTTAAATATATCTTCGTACGTACAACATTAATTGAGCATTTAATGCGTGTACAGTACCATGTTCCCGTTGAAAGGTTCGTAGCCATTAGGGGATTTCCCGTTAGTTTAACGACCGTTAGAAGTGTCTTCGAGTTCTGCAAGGTGCGAGCTTGTCTGATGAGGTTTTCTGATCAGAACTCTGATGGCAGCTTCTGATGCCAACTCTGGTATCCAACTCTGATGGCTTCTCTGGAGAGCAACTCTGGGAGCAACTCTGGTAGAAGTTCTGATAAGGAAGACCAAGAGGGTTTCTGGCATGTCGACTATTCTAGTACATACAAAGACAAATTCTAATACAAAATTTCTATTGGGGTACTTTCAAATACTAATCAACCTAGCATCATCAAAATCTAATTACATTTATTCCTTACAATTTATGAATGAGTTGATTAAAATGATTCTAGAAAATCATTGTAGCCATTTTTCTATTTGTCTTTAAGTAAATTAAAAAATGTTTTGAACATAATATTTACGCAAATTAGAGAAATTGGTCAGTCAGTTAAAATTTCATCAATTTCAATAGATTTAATCCATTTAACCAATTTCAATGGTATCAAATGAGTACTAAAATATGTCAAATTAAAATGATTTAAAGTTAGGGTAAATCTATTGGCAATCATGATTTTACTAATCACAACCACATAATAAAATTTAAATTTAAATTTAAATTAATAAAGTTATTTCAAACGTCCATTTTACCCTTATTCAAATACATTTCACTCCATCGACTATTAAGGGTATGTTTGGCACAGCTAGTTGAAAAGATACTTTCATGAGTTTTTTTAGTAACTGTTAACTTTTAGTGACTGAAAAGATCTTAAAAAGAAAAGGCAATAGCTGTTTGGTAAAAAATTGACTGTTTGATTTAGCTCTGTTTGGTATACAAGCTGTTAGGATTAATTAATGCTAAAAGCTACGGACTTATTTGAGATGCTACTCACTGTAGCATCTCAAAAAAGACCTTTTATTTTTATAAATGCTCTTAAAAACTGGCGTGCCAAACATACAATTAGAAGCTTTTAAAGACTTTTTAAATAATACAAAAGCTAGAAGGCATGAACTTATGCTCACCAAATATAGGGTATGTTTGGCACGACTAGCTGAAAAGATGCTGTTGTGAGCTTATTAGTAACTGTTAGCTTTTAGTGACTGAAAAGATCTTAGGCTATGTTTGGCAGACATAAGTTCTTGCCTTCTAGCTTTTGTACTATTTAAAAAGTCTTTAAAAGCTTTCTAGTTGTATGTTTGGCACGCTAATTTTTAAGAGCTTTTATAAAAATAAAAGATCTTTTTTGAGATGCTACAGTGAGTAGCATCTCAGATAAGTCCGTAGCTTCTAGCACTAATTAGTCCTAACAGCTTATATACCAAACAGAGCTAAATCAAACAGTCGGCTTTTTACTAAACAGCTACTGCATTTTCTTTTTAAGATCTTTTCAGTCACTAAAAGCTAACAGTCACTAAAAAGCTCATAAAAGTATCTTTTTAGCTAGTTGTGCCAAACATACCCTTAAAAAGAAAAGGTGGTAGCTGTTTGGTAAAAAGCCGACTGTTTGATGTAGTTCTGTTTGGTATACAAGCTGTTAGGACAAATTATTACTAAAAGTCACGGTCTTTTCTTAGATGCTACTCGTCGTATCATCTCAGAAAAGATCTTTTATTTTTTGAAAAGCTCTTAAAATTCTTCATGCCAAACATACAACTAGAAGCTTTTAGAGACGTTTTAAACAGCACGAAAGCTAGAAGACAGAGACTTATGTCTGCCAAACATGCACATAGCCTAAGAATACTTGGGTGATTTCTGAGAATACGGGAAAACCCAACATCCAATGCAAAAATAAGGGATTATGCGTAACTTTTTCAAGAAAGAGAGATTCGGAAATGGGACTTCCGATTAGAATGATTAGGTTGGGTTGGAGGGGTAGGTTCGGTGGACGGTGGAGGGAGTGGCTAATCTAAAATCCCATTTATTTATTAAGAGATGTAACTTTTTAGTTTTTACTTCAAATTTTACAAAAAATATATCAAAATTCATAATATTTTATTACCTTTCTAATGACACCAATATTCCATATATAAAGTTCATTTATTTTTTTGGAGTTTTAAGAGTAGAAAGTTTTCAGACCCAACATTTTTCTTAAATAGATTTAAATGCTAAAATTAAGATCTCATTGTTCACATAACGTTTTTACATGTTTCAATTATTTTAAAAAAATGTTACTGCCTCCGTCCCATAAAATAAGTCTCATTTCAATTTGAATCGGAGTTTAAGAAAGTGGGAATAAAGTGGAAATGTATGGTTGTGGTTGAGTAAGAAAAAAGTAAATGAATGTTAACCACACAAAACTTTCCAAAAAGGGAAATGGGAACAATTTTTTGGGACGGCCCAAAAAGGAAAATGAGACTTATTTTATGGGACGGAGGGAGTATAATTTTATCATTCAGATCTAAGAAAAATTTTGAATCTGAAAACCTCATAGGCTCATACTACTAGTGTCGTTAGAAAGATCATAAAAAATTATGAATTTTGATCTAATTTTTGTAAAAATTGAAGTACAAATAAAAAAGTTGCATCACTTAATAGAAAAATGAGATTTTAAATTAGCCTTAGCCCCTACCTCTCCCCCTCCTCCTCCCCACCCGGCCACCACCCATCATCCAATTCGGAATTTGGGTTTCCTAATCCCGTAAATTCATCCAAGGGAGCGAAGTTCCGTTTTTTGGAATGACATTTTTTAGTTGTCTGTGCGTTTTACCTGAGACGTCTGTGTAGTTTGTTGTTATACGTTTGTGGTTTTTTGAAGTGTCTACACAGACAATATTTTTGAACGTTTTTGCAAATATGTTGTAAAATGTATGCAAATGAATGGAATTGGGTCTGTTCTTGTGCACGTTCTTTAGGCTTATATAACTTTAAATATAGCTTTATTATGTTTTTAGGCGACACATATAAGCCTAAATGGATGCACATTCAGGTTTAATAGTTGTAATGATTTTTATTTTCTTGACAGGAACTATTTATGTTCTTTGCATGGCGGAGATAATGAACCTTCGAAACACGTGTTTGATAAACCGAATGATGGCAGAAAAAGGATTGAGGAAGTCAAGAATGAGAGATTTTGAATACATGATAACTAAATATTTTATTCTTGTAACTAGCTATTTTGTAAATTTAATGTTCTTGTGTTTAGAATGATAGTGCAATTGAAGTTGCTAATGTCTACTATGTATGTTTTGTGTTATGAAAATGAACTTGGATGTTTTGTGTTGGACACATACAATTGTCTATGTGTTTCCTTATTTTGTCTGTGTGTAATTGAAATATCATTTGTCATTTTTTATATTGTCTGTGCAAGATTAAAACATTGGCTGTTCGTTTGTTTTGTCTGTACATAGATAATAATTGTTGTCTGTGTATTCATATATTTCGTCTATGTGCGATTAAAACATTGTCTGTTCATATATTTTGTCTGTTAGATGAAGAGTTTAGATGAATATGATATTACATGTCTGGTCACAAACAATAGTTACTAGAATGAGTTAATGTTTTAAGTAGAATTGTCTGTCAACTAGACAAATGTGTCAGTCACATACAATAGCCATAGAAATGGGCTTATGTGGTAAGTGAAGTTGTCTGTGAACATGATATGTAGTGTTTGGTTACAAATACACATATATTTTGCATGATTTACATCCATAATGAGAGTAAGATTACTAATTCACCTTTCATAATTCAACATTGTTTAAAAACACATTTTACTTCACCAATATTGAAAGTCATTTTCTTTTTTACAAGACAAAAACACACATCTTTGAGAATAAAATCACTCCAAATACAATATCATTCCAAATGTAAAAACATTAAATTTACAATATAAGTAATTACAAACATAAATCCTTTATTATCCTTTGCTTTGAAGCTCTCATGCAAACATGTAAACACATGTTTCGAAGGTTCGTTATCCCCGCCATGCAAAGAGCATAAATAGTTCCTGTCAAGAAAATAAAAATCATTACAACTATTAAACCTGAATGTGCATCCATTTAGGCTTATATGTGTCGCCTAAAAACATAATAAAGCTATATTTAAAGTTATATAAGCCTAAAGAACGTGCAAAGAATAGACCCAATTCCATTCATTTGCATACATTTTACAACATATTTGCAAAAACGTTCAAAAATATTGTCTCCTTTTGTGCATTTAGGGAAAAAATATAACCCTAAATGCACAAAAAATATGAAATAAAGTATTACCTCATGAAGAAAATAAGAAAAGAAAAAAGATGGAGAAAGGGAGAGGAGTTATTTACGAGGGAGAAGGAAAGAGGAAAAGAGGCTGAAGAATGTTGGGTGAATGGAGGAGGAGAAAAGAAAAAAGAAAACAGGAAAAGAGGGAGAAGGAAGTTGGGTGCAGGGAGGGAGAGAAAAGAAAAAAGAAAAGAGGAAGATAAGGAGAGGGAATTTGGGCGCAGGGAAGGAAAGGAAAGAGAGGAGTGGGAGGGGAAAGGGAGGATTAATTCAAAAGTGGGATGAGTTAGAAAGAGGGGGTGAGGCTTTTTAAGATGTGTACCCCGCCCCGCGTAAACCTGCCTGTACACATAGCATTTTCCTTCGTAAAACCCCCTTATTTTTAGCAACCATTCTTGATGTACACACCCTTGTACACACCTTATACACACCATGTTTGTGAAGCTTTTTTTTTGTTTGTGAATCCGGTTCACAGACAATATTTTGTTTGTACAAAACATTGTCTGTGAATCGATGTTCACAGACAAAAAAACAAGCTTTCACAGACATAGGTGTATACAAAAGTGTGTATAAGAGTGTGTACAAACATCTTTTTTCTATTTTTAGAATTTCCTCAGAATTCTACTTTCTAGGGGATCGTGACCTAATTTGTTAGGCGGTTGTGCCAAACTTTAGAAACCATTGTGGTTGCCCGAGAAAGTGAGTTCCACGAATTACTTCTATGTGAAAGAAGACGATATGTTTGTTTTGAAGGGAGTGAGGAGATCTGCCGGCATTGACGACTGTCCCCTGCTCCTTTCTCTAATGGACTTGTGATCTGTTTATTGTCCAAAAACTTATTTTTTGTTTGACTGATTCATAAGACCGCTAGACACTCTCTCTTTTGCTTTGTTGGCTACGAGAGAGGCGCAGTGAAGACATCAGTGTAGAATAGAACGAGGGGAAATATTCATATCTCCTCTTGTGACTTGCCGGCAGATTTCCGTTCAATTTCTTCGTTCTGGAAAGTTCAGCAGAGTCCAGACTGCTTGAAGCCTTGAAGGGTGTAAAAGGAATTATTAAAAAAGTTATCTTTTTCGAGAGCATGTGAGTGTGGTTAGCACATGGGTGTGTGTGATCAGAAATTCCCTTAAAGTTATTGGCCCAATGTGCTTTGATCTGTCCAAAGATCTGAAAGTTATTGCCTTCGTATGGATATAAGTTTTCTGTTCTGATATAACTCACTGCTTGTTGTGCAGACTGTGTTATTCTACGTGGGACTGAGTCTAAGACCTTTGCCAGCCAGCTTATTATTTTCTTTTCAACTGCGAGCTTCAAGCTTCAAGGTTTGGGTTATGTAGTTATTTAAATTACATTCCAGTTCTGCGTTGGTGCTTATCACTATCACTGAAACTGAGTGCTCTGTATAAATTTGGTTCCTTGTAATTTGAATATACGTTATTTTTATTACTTTTGTTTTCGTTAACTATAAAGATATCATGTATTGTTACAGTATATGAAACTTGTTTGGTAAAGTACACAAGCAAGAAATAGCTTGGTTTATGGTCTCATTTTTGTTGGTTTTGATTATGACATTTGTTGACTTTCAATGAGTATTTTATTTAAATTTTTATTACAGTGTTTGTTTATTTATACTCCCTCTATCCCGTTGAAAGGTTCTCATTTTTCTTATTTGAGTCCTATTTAAAGTTTCTCATTCCATTTTGGGGAATAATTTACTCTATTTGATTACACATTTACTCAAGTTTCTCTTTCCTACTCATTACATGTTAAGTTCCACAATTTCACTTCCCCCAACTTATCTCTCTAATTACTTCAACTTTATATGTTTACTTTTTCTAAGTTTTCTCTTTCCTCTTTTTTTAACCCAAATTATTTTATTTAACCATTTGCCTAAAAAGTTGTGTCATTTAACCACGAGAACCTTCAAACGGGATGTAAGGAGTATAAATTTGTGTCAAAACGGAGGCTTACGCCTCATTGTGCAATGAGGCTTACGCAATAGGCAATCCTAAGAAACCCCCTTAAATACGCAATATGCAAAATGACTTATTAAACTGTATGCACTTCTTTGTTATGAAGAACCAGTGAAGTCCATGCGATTTTTGTCACGATTTTCATCATGGGTCATTGGAAACAGTCTCTCTGTGCTTTAGTACAGGGGTAAGGTTGCGTACATGTGACCCCCTTACTCCACCGTAGGTGGGAGACTTTGCGGCACTAGGGTAATGTTGTTGTTTTTGTTGTATTAGATATATACTACATCCGTCCCAATGGACTTTGCACTCTTTGAATTATGTGAGAAATAAGAATACTAAAAATTGTGTGGTTGAAATTTGTGCAGAGGAGAGAAATGAACAAAACCACAAAATAGTTACTTTAATGGGAAAGTGGCAAAGTTTTTTGGGACAACCAAAAGGAGAAAATTGGCAAAGTCCAATGAGACGGAGAGAGTATAATATAGGTATGATTAGTCGTGTAATTGTTGCGTAATGATAAGGTAGTTGGCTAGCTCTTGATCAATTCATTTTCAAGGATCTCAAGAGGATGAAAGACAATAAAATAATGCTATCAAGATTGATCTTGATGAAAATATAGTTCTATTAGTATTAGAAAGGCTCAAACAGTTTTGTTACACAGGATCCCTACTCTCATCATGCTTAAGAGGAAGATGAAAGAATCATCATGGGAACGATATATCAATCCGGCCTCTTATAGGGAGTTCACAATCTCTTTTATAGTATTCCTCCCAACTGTTGAGGTGTTACTTTATGTGCTAAATGAAATGTCACCTTTAATTTGTTTGATGTTCTTACACAATAATAGCTGAGGATGATAATATTTATGCCACAAGCTATGGATTGAAGCATCCAAAGTTTCATGTACTTGGTAATAATTTATATCTTGATATAAATACCAAAATTGCTGCTCTCCGAGTTTCTCCATCTTTAGTTAGCCTCATTACTCATTCAGGTATGTTTTCATGTGCTTTTATCATTTTTGATCTTGTTCAAGCTTCACCTCTGTTGTTACTTGAATCTGATCCTTTTATGGTTTCTTTGCAGATGGAAAAGAGTCGTTTCAATGTTCTGGAACTATCATTGAAGTTGAAAATGTCAAAGGAATTATTATTACTTCGGCAGATTGTTTTCGAGCCCACTCTGATCCCACAATGCCTCATCCTACAATAAAGGTAGTTTTCTAGCCGATAGTTTGAGAAATGGTTCATACATAATTACATATATAGTATATTGACAAATTTAAGTTTAAAAATCATAAACCAAACTCCAATAATATTGTCTAATAAATTTGTAAGCATGGTTATGAACTTTAACACATTCTTGAGATACCACCAATATGAGATTGTGTGGCCTCGAATGGACATCTATTTGTCAAGCTCTCTTTGAAGTCAAGGATTATATTAATAACCTTCAAGTTAAAATTTTAAGGTAAAACCGTCAATTTAGCCCGTGAAGTATACCAAAAAATTCAATTAGGTCCTCTAACTAAAAAACACCCAATTATAGCTGTGAAATATACAAAAACAACCGAATTTGTAATCTAACCGGTTAACTCTCGGCTATCCGGTGACTCCGCTGATGTGGCAGTCCACATGTCTATTTACCTATTTCTTTTTTCTCTCTTTCCTTTTCCTTCTCTCCCCCTTTTTTCTCCCGGCCAACCTCCCCCGTTCTTCTTTATTTTTTGGCCCCACCTCCATCTTTCCTTCTCCCTCCCATACACATCTTCTTTCTCCCCTCTCTTCTTCCCACCACACCGGACCTTCTTCCCCTTTCTTTTTTCTTCAACCCCAATCTGTCCGACATTTTTGTTCTTCTTCCCATTGAGTGATAAAGGGAATGTAAGACCAGAGATGGCAAGGAGGGCAGTTTGGGCGTTGGGGCTCTTCAGCTTCCTCCCGCGACAATGTTGTTGCTGCCGGCCTTCATCTTCAGTGCAATTCGTTACCGAGTGGAGAAGTCATCTCCTTCGCGCCAGCGGTGTGTAAGGAGTGCTCTGCTGGTCTGAAGAAGGAGAAGAAGAAATAAGGGGCCTGGGAGAGTGGGGTGGGCTGAAGAAGAAGGGAGGGGAAGGGGTGGGGCGGGCTGAAGAAAAAGAAGGGAGGAGAGGGGTGGGGAGGAGTGGGGCGGGATGGTCTGAAGAAGACAAAAGATCAAAGGGAGTGGGGTGTGCCTGGCTGAAGAAGAGAGGAGGGGAGGCTGAAAAAGAAGAAGAAAGAAAGCAAGGGAGTCGGTTTGGTTGTCGTGAAGAAGAAAGAAGCAGGGGAAAAAGAAAGTAAGAAAGAAAAGGAAAAAAGAAAGAAAAAAGGAAAAGGAAAAAAAATTTAAAAACATGCCAGCTGGACTGCTACGTCGCTGTATCACCAGCTAACCAGGAACCAACCGGCTTATTTAGAAATTTGATCGTTTTTGTGTGGTATACGGACTTCATTGACTGTTTTTATAGTTGAAGGGCTTAACTGAATTTTTTGATGTACTTCAAGTGCTGATTTGACAATTTTCCCCATGTTCATAAATGAAACTTTTGAGTATTTTGTTCTTTTCCCTACGAGGAATAAAGGAGGTTGGGAATTTTTCTAAATAAACTTCCTGATCAAAAACAATATAAAATTCCAGTGTATGAGTATTGTGTTCTTTTCTCTATGAGGAATAGTTTACCGCTTCCTGGAATCATACTATTAGTGTCCTACCTACAGCCTCCTGACTACAGTTTCCAAGTATGACTGTAATTACATCCAAAGTCTTAGTAATCCAAAAACTAAGTAGGGCAGTTTGTAGTTTTTCTTTGTCTCAATTTGAGTATATTCAGACAAATATATCCTTTTAAAGGTTGAGGTGCACATGAGTGATGGTACGATGCTGGATGGAAAAGTATTGGCGTATGACTTTCATTACAATCTAGCTGCAGTAGAAGTCCACTCCGGTACTCCATTGAAAGCCGCAAAAATGGCCCTCTTTGATGATGCAATCTCAGTTGATCCAGCTCCAGTAATTTCAACACCAATTGTACAAGCCCATAGTGTTCCCCCTTTAGATGCACATTATACCCTTATCCCTGGTAACACTGTAATTGCTCTTGGTCGCTATTTTGCGAAGCCATATGCCCTAATGGCGGCTCCAGGTGAATTTAGGTAAGTGGCTTTAAAGTTCATACCTAGTTTGCATGTTCTTACGTTAGATTTCTTTACTATGAATCTTATTAAATGTTTGATTGTTTGCTTCAGCATCAATCAAGTAGAGTTTGAGTGCCAAGAACTGTTTAGAGCAAACTGCAGAATAACAAGAGTACCTCTTCCTCTCTATGTCTCATGTCTCAATACTTGTATTCACTTCATTGATGTTAAGCCATCATGCTAATGGTTTATATAGATACAAATCAAATATAAAGCTCCGAGCTACTCTTTGAAACCTTGGTCTTTAATAACTAGCAAATATATCAAAATGCAATTTTAGATATGTTTTATATATGCGGCTTTCTTTTGTTGTTGCAGTGTGGTGTTGGCGGGCCACTTGTAAACAGCCAAGGGGAATTTATTGGTGTATGCTTTTATGACATGTCGTGTACTCCCTTTTTGCCCATCACTCTAACTCTCAAATGGTGGGAGCAATATAAAAAAAACGGGTATGCACAAAACCTCATGTAGTGTATAACTGATAAGAACCTATATGCCTATTTGATTCACTTTTCTTATTTGAACCAACAATAAAAAACCATTGAATACACTAGTTCAAATCCCAATGAGGGCCGTTTGAGTTTTGGAGGGCCCACCAGATCATTTGTGCAAAAGATTCTGGACACCAGTGTTATGAAAGGGAAAAAATTATCTTTGATTTTTCTTTCTGTTTCGACAATCTTCCACACAAGAGAATGAAATAAAATAAAGAATTTAATATGTTTTTACTTCTTCTAAAATTATTTTTTCATTCTTCATCACTAAGATTTATGCTGTGTTTCTTTTTAGTCGCACATGGATCCTTAAAACCACTATTTCACAATGAAATAGACCAGACTAAAAGATTTTCTGTCTTTATTCATTTGGTGTTTCAAAAATACTTGAGATTAATTTCAGATAGTCAGTAAACCTATTTTTAAAACGGGAAAGATTAGTATCACTTAACTTTTTTTCACAGTAACAACAAATTAATAGGACTGCAATGTGGTGTACAGAGCTTAAATTAATAGTATCACTTAACTTAAGCCTACAAAATGTTGTACAGAGCTTAAATTAAAAGTTAAGTAGAGTTTTCTTTAATGGAGTTAATTGTAGAGTTATTCAATCTAAATTAATTGTTTCATATCAAGAATATTCTGGAATTATACAGAAACTAAAAAGGAAATTGTATGTATTACATGGAACAAAAACACATTTAAGCCTAAAATAAAACATCAAATGTGTGTGCCCAATGGCAGCTTACCCTACATATTATTCTTGTGACTGACTGTCAACGTTTTAATTGGGATAGGCAAATCCATCGGCCATTGCTAGCGATGGAACTTACCAACCTCTACGCTGTGAGCCTGGACATTCTAGAAACGGTTGTCCAAAACGATACCTTCCACGGTGTTATGGTTGAAGAGGTAGTATACATTTCCTCTCAAGTTTTATCAAAATTCTATCTCCAGTGCCGTCTTGACAATTTATAGACCCGTCCCCAATTATGTTGTAAAAAAAGTCCTTCTCAAAAGTAAAATTCAGTACATAAAATTAAGTGCTTTTGTACGTAAAAACTATAACAAGTCAGGCACACACACAAAACAATTTCTGTGGACGTTCCTAGATGCAAAATCATCTTTTTCTCATTCAGAAACAGATAAACAGAGAGAACTAGCTAGGCAGTTTATGTATTCCGTATGACCACTATCTCTCTGTGCATCTGCTAAATTAATTTTTCATACTACTCGGATGCTTTGATACATATATGTGCGCTATCAAATAGGTTTTACCAGGCTCTTCGGCTGATGTAGCCGGGATTCGTCCCAATGATGTTATTACTAGATTCGCTGGAGGAAGTGTTGGGAGTTTCTTAGAGGTATTATACATTCTTCATTGAGTAAAATCTAAGAGATTAATATTCTGAAACCGTAATGTTATTATGTGCACTGATGTATTTGGATCAGTTGGTGAAAATGATGTGGCAAAACATTGGAAAGTCAGTAGAGGTGACTGTGCTACGGACCTTTGATGGTACTCGGTTCAATCTTAATATGGTGGTGGATGAAGTCTCACCTGATGAGCAATATAGGTGAACCTCTTATAATGATAATTATTCTCTGATGATAATTGTTACTAAATGTTATATTGGTATACTTCATGCAGTTGGCCAGTTCTGGATAATGCAAGATAGAAAATGAGAAGTCCTGCTTGTTTTGAATGATAACATTCAGTATAGCAATATAGAGTGACCTGAATGACCGGCAAGATAGAAAGTGCCTGTTTTTGTGAGCCAGTGTGACTGCATGAAGTATTGAAAGTGAGAAGTCATGCAGTTGGCCAGTGTCATTGGAAACAGTGATTGTTTTGATTCACTCGAAAGCTAGTCTTCTCACTTTAGTTTATTATAACTAAACATATTTATTAGTTACAAAATATATTTATATTAGAAATTATATATATTTGTATATTATCCTATTAGTTACATCTTCATATTTACATTCTCATTTTACATTAATCATATATAAATATTTCTAACAATCTCATTTTACTTACATTTGAAATTGTTAATAGTAGACAAGTTGCATTTTAATTGCATGTAGTATACTCTCATTTACTATACTGGTTACATTATCATATTAATCAAATCAACCATATTTGTTAGATTTTATTATTAATCATATTAAACTTGATTGTTACATAAAAATATTAGCCACATTTAATAATACTCACATTATCAATTCATCATATACAATTTGTGACCTTTGAATATTAGTTGATTTAAGTTGCATTATAATAGTAGTTGCATTTTAATTGCATTTACTATACTCACATATCAATTGCATTTATTATACTTATTACATTATCATATTAGTTACATTTTAGTATTTGCCTCACAATTTAATAGTAAACTCACATTTTAGTTATATTTTTATGTTAGTTATATTTAAATATTGGCCTCACAATTTAATATATAAAAACTCACATTTTAGTTACATTTTTATATTAGTTAAATTTTTATATTAAACTCACAATTTAGTACTAAACTCACATTTTAGATACATTTTTATATTGGTTGCATTTTAATTGTACTCACATTTAAATATTTGTTAAAATTTAACCTCCAACGCAACAGAATAAATGAGATTGTGAAAGGACATCAAAGTTCGCGAGGTAAAGGTAAAGGATATGTCGGATCTTCTTGTGACACTTTGAAAATTGAACTTAAATAAAATAAAAAGGATATATTTACTAATCAGATAAATTTTAACACATGAGAAAGGTGATTTTTTTTGTAACCAATTGTGATTCCATAAATTTCTAGCATCGCATGGAAATTAATTTCATATCAAATCATCATTTTATAGCTAATAATGTAATTGCAGGTTCAGAAACAAATAAACAAACAAATAAATAAATAAATAAATAAATAAATAAATAAATAAAATGGAAGACTTAAAATGGAAGCAGTGAAGGGAGTGAGAGGTGAAAACTGAAAAGAATGTAAGGTTTTGGAAAGTCAAAACTGAATTAAGGTCATAAGGCTGTTCCACATCAAGATTCTAGATAATTTCTTTTTCTACCACTCATTTATTGAATTGGGTAAGCTTGCTCATTAGCATGTCTCATTGGCGTGTCGGCGTGTTGCTACTTGTTGTGGTCATTATTTTACGGTGGGCTGGTCTCCCATTTCTACCAAACACATACTCATAGTCTAAAGTAATAAAAAAACTGAGTTGGGCTAGAGCCCATCGCAGCCCTCAAGTAAATCTGCCCCTGATTAGCTGTATGTGTGTGTATATATGTGTGTGTGTGTGTATATGTATGTATGTGTATGTATGTGTATACATGTGTGTGTGTATATGTATGTATGTATGTATGTGTGTGTGCCTGTGTGTGCGTGTGTGTATATATATAGAAGAGAACAGATGCACACGTAACTATATATGGATTACAGAGTTCCTCATAATGAATATTTTTGGAAATAAACCACTTCAATAATGAATATCCCTCAAAAAGAGGTCATGAATACAAATAGGAGGATTCTCACTCCAAAGACAATCAGCTTCAAGAATAGCTTGCCTAGCTATTCGCTGACCGTCACGCATACTAGACGGAAATATTAGGGTTCAACGCCATCATGTGTCTAATGTCATCTGAAAGTGTCGAATCATATGAGCATCCATCTGAAGAATTGATATTCCTCAATGCTCCTATGCATGCCTTCCAGGGGGAAAAATAACCTTTGGAGGGATATTAAAACGCTATATCTGAATCCACATCAGGGTCGCCAAATTCCGACCACATTAGCTCATCCGGCGGAGACCGCCAGCTCAAAGGAATACTACTAATAGCTTTCTGATCCTCATTGAAAATATCATCCAGAATATCAAAATCTCAGTTCAAGCCATCCATAGTTATAATGTATAACTTGATTCTTTTGGAATTGCGATTTTAATTTATGTTGTGAGGCGTTGATGTTGTGGATATGAATTATTCTTATTTTATGAATAGGATATGTTTTGGTTCGAACAAATCTTTTGAAATCAGCAAGTAAAACAAAACAAAATTAATATGGCAATTTACAAAAATGTTTAATTGTGCTGCCAAAAAATATATATAAAATAAAAAAATCACCATTTTTAAAATAGCTATTTGTTGTGGTTCAGAATCCCAAATAAGTGAAAATTCGTTTTTTAAAATTAACTATTCCGAACCACAGCAAATACATTTTCTTACTATTTGATGTCCTACCAATTGCTGCGGTTCGAAACCGCATCAAATAGCTTAAAATGACCACAACAAATGACTATTTTTCTAGTAGTGAATAGAGTTTTGTTTCTTGTTGAACTGAGATACCTATATTACTCCTAGCATATGACATGTTCCTCATGTGCTTTTCTATCAATCTTGTATCCACCAAAATCTGAATAACCAATAAATTCAAATCCTCCTTCAGCTGAGTACCAAAGGTGAGAAGTTGGATTGCCTTTGAGAAAGACAATTGTGCAGATCTACCTCTCATGAACTCCAAAGTGGCAAAGAGAAATATCTCCTTGTCTAGTCTCAAAAAATAAAGTTTTACACTCGCAACAATTGGCGTGGGGAGCGGCCCATCAGCTAGGGAGTCCGATCCAACACGGGTTTAAAAGACTATGGGGTGTTTGGCAATCAGCCGTTGGCTGTCAGCTGTTGGTTGATTGTGTCGGCTGTTAGCTATTGGCAGATTCTGTTGGCTGTTTTGATTAGCAGGTAGATTGGCGGTTTATAGAAAAATGTTTGGTTAAGTGGTTGTTTATAATTAGCTGATAACTTGTTAAATGACTTTTACACACATTTGATTAATTTTTATTTATCTACTTTTATGTAGTACTACATATATTTTATTAATGTTATTAGTAGAATTACTTACACGATTTTTGTTTAATAATAAAAATTATTACGAGTAACAATTTTTATAAACATTATTTTCTAGTATTATTGAATTTAATTAGTATGACCGTCAATGAAATATGAAGACGATGGTTTCATGGTTTACCAACTTGACCCGACCAGTCCGGTTCTCAAACATAGGTTATAGAATATTGTACTGGACACTCTGGCCTCTGGTAGTAGAGCACACTAGCATGATTGGATATCCACTATGTTTACTCCCGCCGCCATGTCTAGAGAAGACTAGAACCACATGTTAGACGGAACCCTTCTTTTTATTAAACTTTCTTTTAGACGGAACCACATGGTTTTAGACTATTTTTGGATCTGATCGGGGGAGGATAACAAAAAAAAAAAAAACTGATCTACAATAAACTAGAGAAAAATTCTAAAGGTACACGCTTTTTGGTGTACACACTTTTTACACATGTCTGTGTAAGGTTTTTTTATGTCTGTACAGACATAACGTATCGTTATGTCTGTACCTCAAGCCCAACTCTAAACTAGAATACCATACTATAAGAAAATTCAGAAGGGAGAACTATGAAATAAGCCCTCAAACTTTCATAAAAATTGCAAATAAGCCTTTTTATAGGAGGCTCTGTACGACCGTCGCCATTTGGGGCGGTTTCCGATGGAATTTTTTGATGAATTTTTTTGAGTATCTTCTTCATTAATTCTAGTTTACTCATACCAAATTTTATCTAAAAATTCAATCGAGAAGGAAGTCAAATGAAATTTTGAATAAAATTGCGCAGTTAGACAACGCAATATATTTCATAAAATCATTTGACTGCTTTCTCAATTGAATTTTTAGCTGAAATTTGGTATGAGTAAACTAGACTTCATGAATAAGATGCTAAAATATTTTCATCAAAAAATTCCACCGAAAATCGGCGCAAATGGCGACAGCTGAACAAAGCCCCTATAAAAGACTTTATTTATATTTTTTGTGAAAGTTCTTATTTCATAGTTCTTCCAAATTTGGAATGTTTTCATATTGAAAAGGTGGAATCGTGAGTTCGTGACCCGATAAAGTAATCGTGATATACTATATTTAACATCATCATCATTATCATCATTAATATAAAAAAATAATAAATTTTATTCGGTCATGTACCTGGGTACATCAGGACTAAATATATGACTACTAAAAAATATACGAGTAGATTGCAATGTAAAATGTAAAAAAAAAAAAAAAAAACTTATTTCTTTTCTATGATTTCTCACCTTCTATATCCATTCCCAATATCTACAATCCCACCTGTAACCCTCTGTCTACCCTGACTTCAAACCAATTCTGGATGTTTTTTGCTACACATATCTTACACAAAATCCATCATCCCTGCCTTTCTCAGACCTCTATTGATATTCTTGTTTTAATGGGTTTCAACTTCACGCCCATGCTTTCGGGTGAGAAGAGCTCAGGGGAGAGGCTAGTAGGGCTCAATGGGCTTCTTGGGCTTACATTGAAATGTGATGGCCTGTAAAAGCCCAACCCCATGAGGAAATACTCAATCGGTATCAACATCGCGTCAGGTTGCTCTTCAGTCACCATTGAGCCGCATGCTTGAACCTACACATAAAATGCATCTTCACATGAATTCTGGCAAATCTTTAGGCTATGTTTGGAGAAGGCGTTGATGCTAACGCAAATATGCTATGTACATGGCATTACTTTGGAAAACACGAAGAAAAATCATTACATATGTGATAAGAACTTCAAAAAATTACACTCAGATTTCTAGAAGACTGCTTTCGTCCCGAAATGATTCACAAATTGGTTCAGACATGACAAAGTTAAATCTTCCCAGGTAGGCAACTGATATAGAAATAATTCTCAATAACCAAAATCTACGTATTTAGAAACTACACTAGTTGTTATTGGCACAAGAAACGAATTGCAATGTCACTAAAAAAACGGTACTCAAAATCAGAAAATAAAGAAACTTGTGTTGATCAAGAGATGTAAACTTGTGAACCCTTTGACGGGGGAGTATAAAAGAACTACATAAATAAACAGTGTGCAGATATTTAATAAACTAATATTGATTGATTCAGTTTGAACCAATTCATTAAAACTTTGTTGCTCTTTACTTTATATCCTTTCCATTTTCCAGGATCCAAATGGATCCTTAACCATCTAAGAGAATGT